TTAAAAAGAATTATCATTTTGACAAATTGAATATATAAATGGGTATTATTTTAAATAATTAACTTTATTTCTGTTTAATTTATTAATTTTATATTAGTTATATATCATTCTGAATATTATTTCTTCGCTTCTTTATTTTGATAAAATATTTAATTTTTGAGGACTTGTGTCAATCACGAGCGTTATATTAACTATCAACTAAATTATTATTCTATTTAATTTTGATAAAAAATAAATATATATGAAATAAAACTAATAATAATTCATAAAATATTATTTATAGTTCAAAATAACATTTAAATTTTTTTACTAATTATTTATAGTTTTTACTTCACAATATGAATTTCAATTTTTTTTTTTCAATTTTTGTTGGAAAATTAGTTTTTTATGAGACACCTGTACGGTTTCACGGGTGTTGTACTAGCTTTCAATTATACCTTGAAGTCCAAATATCCCCTTTCAAATACCCGTAGAATAAAACCATACAAAATACTAAAATAGGAATTGAGGAATACTAAAAATTCGGAAACAAACAATTTTTCCCATAACTGATACCAAAACAAAACAACATGAAAGAGTTTTCAACACACATCAAGCACATAGATGATACAACTTGTCGGAATATCAATCAGATCATGACCCACATTGACATGATTTTTAGTCTTAAGATTAATTTCGAAAAATTCTCCAAATTCCATAAATTATAGTCAGCTGATATTCATCTTGTCTCCACAAAAGCAACACATAGAATAAAGGGGTGACAGAATTTATGCCGTCGCCGGCTTGAAAGCTCCACGAAGAGCCGTCGCAACTTCTTTCACGCTCAAGCTGAATCCCTTCTCCATCTGCCATTCAGAAAATAAACTACTTGTATTAGAATCGGGGGAAGAGAGTGCGATTCCACCAGATGCAGCGCACCATAAGAAGGTGAGCCTAGATGCACATTAGTGAGGTTCCATTCCAAAACCAATTAGTGATTGAAGGAGTAGTTCATTAGGCTTATATACTGGGCTCATTTTTCCTATAGAATCAATGTGGGACAACTCAGAAGTGATATTCCAACAACTTGATTTTATTGTTTGGTTTTTATAATTAGTTCTTTGTAATTAGAAAAAATAAAACTTGATCTCAATTTAATTCTCACCTCAGCAATGATGGTGATTTCAAGGGAAGAATTACCAAAGAGGCTGACATTAGTATTGACAACCACCATGTTCATGCTCTCCACCTGGCTAAGCAAATTGGCAAGAATGCCCTTGTGCTTACCGCAATGCACCCTTATGAGGACGTTGTTGTTGACCACCCTCACCTCGATTTCTCCGGCCAACGACGAACCTTCTTCCTCCTCGAACACCTGCGATTTCTTCACGAAAACCCCCGACTCCATCGCCATCTTCGAAGATCTTTTCGCTTCTTCCAAGTTCTCTGCTCTCTGTTCCAGATGTTTCAGATAGTTTATGGCTTCTCCCAGTATCGAGGTTTTATCCGTCTGTGTAGTGATATCGGTCGAACCGGGGTTAGTTATATAGACAAGAGAGTAGAAGATATTCTCAATAGATATATGCTTTTTGTTTCTAATGGGTCACGTTGGAGAATATTATGAACTCGAGCTGCTCAAGTATTTGTTTTGTTGGGTGAGCATGAAAATCGAGCTTATTTGTTTTTGCTATGGAAGTTGGGAAAAAGTTAGCACGAGGGACACTTTGTAAAAAAAGAACAAAAATTGTGAGGCCCCATCAAATACATGCTTGCAAACCCCCGAGTTTCATATTCTTTGTCCCGATTTTAAGTGAAGGACCCAATTTGGTCCCACATTGCCTAATTAACTTCATATTTCATGTTCTAATTTGGGGAAATGGTACAGTTCCGTTACGGGACCATCCTGTCGGATATTTTAATTGTTGGATACAAATGTAGTTAGTATAAGATAAATGATCCAACGGTTAAAACATTCGACGAGATAGTATAGTAACATGATCGTAACATTTCCCTTTAATTTGATATATTGAAGCACCACAAATATATTGTTTGTAGCCATATAAAATACCCTTCAAACTAAGATAACTTAAAAGTCCATGATCTCATGCAAGAAATATAACTAAAATGAAATTAATTTAAGTAGTGCACCTTCTTCAGGCCAGGAACAATGGCAGATAGAGCTATAAATAGCTGGCTGAGCTGCTCCCGACGCCTTCTCTCGGCCATAATATGCTCGTACACTTGCGCTGGCGGCCGAGTACGTGTTTTTTTCTTTTTTGGTATTTGTTTAGCCTTGCTCGTGTTTTTCGAGCCTCGAGATTTCAAAGTTTGTGAAGTGTCACTATTGCCTTTGACGTCATAACAAGGGGCCGGTAAGGCGTTAACCTATTACACATATGTAAAGAAAAATAAGAATTAACACCTCACAAAAAAAAAAAAAAAAAAATGCCTTTTCCAAGCTGACCTGCTGGAGGTTTTCTGTGTGGTTAATCTCGTGATATCCGAAATCAAGAACCGATCGTTCGTGATCGTCGATAATCAATCCGTGAGTCGTCGGAAGCTTATTCTGGTGATAATCGATTAATGGCGTGAAACTAGGAAAGTTGTGGTGAGAAGTGATTGAGCTGCTGCTCAGAATGTTAATGTTTTCGGGAGAGGAAAAAGAATGCTGTGAAGAAAAATAGTCCTCAAAATCTTCTCCGAAAATCGCACTCATCTCTTCGTGATCAAAGGAATCCATGTCCGGAAAGTCGTGCAGGTTCATCGAATCAAATAATCACAAGAACTGAAAAGAAAAACTGAAGTACAATATCATGGTCTGAATGCATAACTTGCTATGAACTAGCTAGGGTTTTAAGGTTTTTTTGCTACAACAGTTAAAAGTTTGCCGAAGAAATTTTCATGTTTCACAGTACTAATCAATCATCAGCTTTTGCACAAATTTAATGAATGGAGTGCGTATAAGGTGACGTCGATCGACGAATTAAAGCTAAAAATATTATTGAGAAAATGAGCAAAGATTTTGCAGATAATACATTGATCAATGAAGACGATGACCAAATACTAAGGTTTCTTAATTAAATGAAAAATTACCTCAATCCTTTTGTCGGAGCTTAAAGTCTTTAACTGTAAACATAAAGCAATGTTTAATGGCGTGTTGTACTAAAACCAGTTTGCCGACGGGCCTGAAATCTATCACCGACGTCACCCCTGGCGTTAGAACAATGCGACAAAATTAAGTCTAAGAAGGTGTGCCAAAAAAATGGACGTCACCTTATACGCACTCCATATTCTCCCAAAATAATTACTACTTTTTCTTAATTTTTAAAATATAACCAATTAACCCCTCATTTTATTGAGGTACTTGTTCCCTTCCATAATTAATTGGTATATAATGTCAATCCCTAAAACATATTCAAAACAAGCTCTCCATTATTTACCATTTGTTAAAACATCTATATATATATTGAAATATTGAAAGAAAGTGGTCAATAAATCATTTGTGGAAAGTTTATAAAAAAAACAGAATCAACCCATTTGACTTAATAATTATGACAGACAACATATAGCTGTCAATTTTTTTTTTATACATGGTTCGCAATTTTTATATATTTTTTTTTTCAATTTCATTTACTATGCTACACTTCATGAGTGAAAGATCCAGTAAATATATTTGGTAACACAAATCAGATTTTACTCGATTGAGTGTAACCACTTTATTCTTAGTTAGGTGATTAGTTCTTGTCTATGTTGGTTGTGTTCTAGCCTACCGTGGAGTGGTGCTCTCGTTTCTCGGCTATCGAGGTTGTATGAACCTTTCATTTACAATGTTACGAGAACTGTCTATCGTTTGAAAAAGGGGATAAGTCCGGCTGGAAGTATGCATCGAATAATATTTTAGGACGAAACGCCTATCTAAGAAGAACAAAGGCGATTGAACCCAACATTGATGGAAGTTGTGAAAGGAGAGACCCTAAAGTTGATACAAGACTATGTCGTGGTAGTTAGTGAATGGTGAGCCCCGTGCATGTGGTCCGGAAGAAGAGTAGGATCACGGTGATTGAGAATAACAAAGGCGAGCTTGTACCCACGAGGGCTACGACAAGGTGGCGCATGTGTATCTATTTCCGAAAGCTCAATGCCGCGACGAGGTGGCGCATGTGTATCTATTTCCGAAAGCCCAATGCCGCCACAAGGAATGACCATTTTCCTTTGCAATTCATTGATCAACTTCTTGACAAGTTAGCCGGACATCCTGTCTATTGCTTTCTTGACGGATTGTCTGGCAACTATCAAATCCCGATTGCCTCATAAGATCAACCAAAGACCACCTTTACATGCCTTTTTGGCACCTTTTCTTTTTAGATAATATTGTTCGGGCTTTACAACGCCCCCACTACTTTCCAAAGGTGCATGTTCTCTATCTTTTCGGACATGATTAATGAATTTATTGAGTTTTTTATGGATGATTTTTCCTATTTTGGTGATTCTTCCATTGATTGTCTTGACAAATTTGGTAAAGTTTAAAACGATACATTGAGAGTAACCTGACTCTTAGTTGGGAGAAATCACATTTTATGGTTCCTAGTGGGATTGTTCTTGGGCATGTGATTTCGTCTAAGGGAATTGAGGTCGATAAGGCCAAAATTGATATGATAGAACAACTCCTACTCCCTCTTAATGTGAAAGGTGTTCATGGTTTTATTGGGCATGCTGGTTTTTACCAGAGGTTTATTAAAGATTTTTCAAAAATTGCTCGACCATTGTGTGCTTTACTTGCATTAGATGTGCCTTTTGACTTTAGTGATGAATGCATGGATGCTTTTAATGATTTGAAGCGGAGGTTGGTCACGGCCCCAATTGTGATGCCCCCGAATTGGTCCCTACCTTTTGAGATTATATGTGATGCTTTGATTTTGCGGTAGGGGCCGTTTTGGATCAAAAGGTTGAGAAAATACATCATGTGATTAGCTATGCTTGCATGACCTTGAATGAGTCTCAATTGAACTATACCACGACCGAGAAAGAATTCTTAGTCATTATCTTTGATTTAGAGAAATTCTGTGTTTACATTGTAGGATATAATGTTGTAGTGTATAGTGATCATGTGGCCTTGAAGCATTTGTTAGCTAAAGCTCAATCCAAGCCTAGGTTGATTCGTTGGGTGTTACTATTGCAAGAATTTGATGTGAAAATCTTAGATAGGAAAGGGTGTGAGAACGTAGTTGCCGATCATCTATCACGCCTTACGTTACCTTCTAGTTCATTTGATATGCATGACCTTGATGACTCATTTCCTTATGAGCATGTATTTCATGTTGAGTGTGTGCCTTGATATGCCTATATTGCAAATTATTTTGCTTGTGGTGTTTTTAATGACGACTTATCCTTCCAAGAAAGAAAGAGATTAATTTAAAAGTGTAGGTACTTCTTATGAGAGGATCCATATCTTTTCCATCTTCGAAAGGACGTGGTCAAAAGGCAGTGCATGAGAAGGAAAAATAAGCAATTCTAACTGCATACCACTCGTTAAATTGTGGAAGCCACTTCGGAGACCAGAAAACGGCATTTAAGGTGCTTCAAAGCAGATTTTATTGGACCACAATCTTCAAAGACTCTCACACTTTCTCAATTTCATGTGATCATTGCCAACGTTTGGTGAATATTGGAAGGAGGAATGAGATGCCGCTTAACACCATCATACCAGTTGAAATCTTTAACGTGTGGGGTATCAACTTCATGGGCCTTTCCCAATCTCTCATGGATTCGAGTCGAGTACATTTTGGTTGGTGTTGAGTATGTTTCAAAGTGGATGGAAGCCATTGGGTAAATACTTTAGTACCCTTGGGTAAAGTTTACCCATTTAAGCGGTAATATCCTAGATTTGTACCAAAACACAACTAGATCTGAGCACAACTGGCGTGCATCAGCACGTATTATGAACGCGTATCGATGTTCTGCACTTTCGTTCCACCCTCGCCCTAACGTTAGAGCCGAGCCACCGGGTGCGTACATGTGCACTAAGTCCGACCGAGCTGCGCCCCTGCGCTCTACCCAACGCCCGTGCGTCTGTTCAACCTACCAGTCAACGCACTGATTACATTAGTCGTGGCCCAAGCACACTCCTGCATCAGTGGCCATTGCCCAAGCACGCCCGTGCGTGTGTGGCCGTGGCACCATTCAAAGCCTGTGCGTCGCAGTACAATAAGGCTTCTAACATAAGACGTGGACGCGACCGTGTTTGTGACTACAGACGACACTAGCCCTGCAAGTACATCGCACGTAGGTAGCGCATGCAGTGTTCCATGCCCGTGGGCCTCGGGTAGTGGGTAAACTGCATGTGACATGCCGCGTGCAATGTGCCGCCTCGTCAGGAGCTGAGTAACGATGTTTCGAACCACAATTGTTAATTTTCCTCATCGGTTTTACATATTGATGGATAGTCAGGAAAGATGATTGGAACGTCTAAAGGCTTGCATTCTGAATGACAGATGCGTTCGGTTAAACAATGTGCCACTAAAGTAGTTAATAGAAGATGATAGACATGACACCGTACGTTTTAATACGGACACGAGTGTGGATTGCCGACATACAAGAAAGAGATAACGAGAGAATGTTTCTCGGTCAATAGTAGACCGACAGACAAGGGAGTAGAAATCAGTGATCCATGCGAAGACTAAGACAACCCTGAATCGACGAAAGTCGCGTACAAGCCAACAATAGAAAGACTTTCAGACCAGCGTGTTGAAAAGGTGACCTCAGGGTCAGAGCTGCAAAGAAACTACAACTAGTTACCCCAACCATGTCTAACATATAGCCGAGACGGTGGGCTAAGCCTAACATTTTTGAGCTTGACCGCCGAAGTTCTCGTGAAGTGCCCTGCATTTTCACCCGTGTCGAGATTGAGAAGTTGTAATCGCGCTCGAACAAGCGGGAAGCTTAGATGAGCCCCAAGTTGATCAGAGTTGACACGTGAGATAGTGTCAACAGCCACCTTGTGGTGGAAGATACGCTAGTTAGAGAGCCTAGAAGTAAGCCTCTTTAAGTCCAGAGTATCGCCACAGCTAGGGCGAAGTTGCTAAGAGAAAAGACGAGCTTCTTTGGAAGTTCCCAATATGTAGTTTCTAAGTTTTTGCCCTGGATTTTCCAGAGGCACGTAGTGAATTTTGTCGAACCAGTACTAGCGAGACTGGTTGATGACGGAAACAGACCTATACAGTATCCAGATAGAAACCCTTAGTTCTTAAACTTGTGTTAACGGTTTATAACAGCCATAAGGCCGTATAAATTATGGAGATTTGAAATAAGAGCCACTAGTCCGAATTTGGCCGGGGGCTTGAATCCAGAGCTACCATGACGAAGCCAAGATCACTAGTAAGAGGAAGACTGAATTTAGAGTTAAAGCTCCGACCCTTGAGTTTTGGCTTGTATTTGGAATTGTAGCGTAAGGTTTTGGACTTGTACTTTAGTTTAGTATTTCTGATTACAGAAATATTTTAAGGAGGATAGATTGTAAAGTCCCGAACAAATTTCTATATATTAGCTCGACTTTATTCTCCAAAAAAGTAAATTCATAATTATGCTGAGATTTATTTATTATTATTTGCATAATTAATTAGAGTACAAAATCTAAGACATGGAAAATCATTCGAATTTTATTTCGGAAATGAAAAAAAAAAAAAATTAGTCTAAGCCTCGATTTATAATTTTAATTGAGTATTAGAAAGTCAGGAATTTAATTAATTTTCGAGCCAAACCATTTTG